CACATGTCACGTTATTGTGGACCCACGTCGACGAGTCTCTTGGATGAAGCAGCTCCCGACCATGCCACATAGCTCCCTCTAGTGGTGCCACGTCATCAGTGTGTACAGCGCATTTCGCACACGTACAAATTTTCAAAATGTTGTAACTTCTTCATACGAGCTTCATTTTCAAAGTTCATTATATCCTGGGAAAGCTCTCGATGAGATCTACAACTTTCATTTAGACTCCGTCAGCTAATTTTGGCTTTATTTTTAAAGCTATATTTTATATCGATGAAACTATATGGACGTGATCTTCAAATCCCCTTTAGTTTTTTTCCTAACAATCAACCGATCTCTACTTCGGTTTTTGAGTCGTATACTGTTGCGCTGAAACTTCGAAAAATCATAACTTCCTCTTACGAAGTCAGATTTAGAGGTTCTCTATATGCACGCTCTGGGTTTAACAACTACTACGACTTTCATTTAGATTACTTAGGCTAAAAAGTAATCTATCGAAAATTCACTTTTTACGATACGTAGAGTTGTAACGGTTTAATCGCGAAACTTTGAAGAAGCATAATTTCTTCATACGAAGTCGGAGTTTAGCGTTATTTATATGTACGAAATCCTTGTCACATAAACTATAAATCTAATTAAGGTTATTTAAATAACCTTCTATCAAAAAATTTCATTTTTATAGCTTATTCTATTCAAATAGCTAGCCCGAATCTGCGAGTGTTAGAGAACCCTAATTTGACTCAAAAAGTCAACCTTGGTAAAAAAGTCAAACATGATCAACTCCATCCCGCAGTCATGTCGTGACCACCCATTGGTCACGTCATGATTAGCAGAAGACAAAATAGTCATGAACAGCTAATGTCACGGCGTGACAGGTTAATGCTCACACCATGAGAACTACTTTGGACAAATTTGAGCATTAAGCTCTTAATCCTTTAAGCCACTCTTTAAGACTTTCTATAGGGTATTCTCTAACCCTAAGAAATATAAAAATCGTGGCTTTTTAGTCATGCATTTCCATTGCATGACTTAAGCACTAACTAGGTCATTAAGAAGAAAAATGGGATCAATACTCATGCTTGGAGTCTAAACCAACACTAAATCTCAGATCCGAAGTATATTCTTGAGAAAATGACACATTGATCCATAAAGTTGCTAACTCTATGGATCCCATACATGCTATCCCACCCAAACATGAAAAGAAAGGTATAAATCTAAGATCTAGCATGCACAATAGATGAAGGTCATAGCTTTAGGACTTCCAAAGGTCCAAAAGCATTGAAGAATGAAGAGGTAGAAGCTTGATGGACAAAAACCACCAAAAGATCTCTTAAGTCAAAAATGGAGGCTAAGAATATTTTGGTAGGAAGGAGGTGATGGAGGCTGAGGGTGTGTAAAACCTAGCCTCATACTTCTCTTAAATAGGGAGCAAAACAATGGATTAGGGTTTCGCCTAAACTCACGTCATTAGATTCTAACCCTCATGTCGTGAGCCTTAAAATAGCCATGTGTCTCATACTGAAGTCACGTCGTGAGATCCTACCTCTCATGTCGTGACCTCAAATTTAGGGTTTTCATTCTTATTTAGGTCAAAACAAATTAAAGGTTGAGTGCATGCATTAAATGTTACACACTGGCAACCTTTATATATATATCCTCTTCCATCAAATACAATCAAATAAAATACAATAGTAAACCCAATACAACCAAACCAAAAATAATACAACGTTTGATTTTGTTCATGAATAAGGAAGTGTACATGTAATCCCTGAAATCAAACCTGATGAACCTCAAATCAAATTTGATGGAACCTGAAACTATGATTAAGGAAACTAAAAAAAGTTGTTTTTCTTCCTGGTGTATGTAATCAAAACAAACCCGATTAACTTAAATCCCCAAATCAAACCTGGTTAACTTAAATACCCAAATCAGACCCTTGGGCCTACATCATCGGAATCTAGAATGGATGAACATAAACTTACCCCTACCTGCAACTCGGTCCTGATCTCCTTAACACGATCTTGAGTGAAATAAAATCAATTGAAGTTTTGAATAGAAATTTTCATGAAACAAGTATGATGCTAGCAGTGAGAGGTTTCGATGTTGGATATAGGGAGAGGTGAGGGAATCAGAAGTCGATAGACGTCAGTGACAACGCTGGTCGAATTACAAGGTGTTGATGATCGGTGGTAGCGACAATGTCTCTCTTATAGGATGTAAAGATGATGGAATGAGGAGGGTGGTAATGGAGGTTGCTCAACATGACATAGAACAAATAAAGAGAGAAGGGGATACAATATTTTTGAAAGGAGAAAAAGAAAAATAGGGTTAGGATAAATAGGGGTGGGACCGACATATTTATTTTCTTTAATAAAAATATGAACGATAAATTGAAAAGAAATACATAAGGGTATTTTTGTCATTTTAGGTGGGACAGGGGCCAACAACGCAATAAAATTGTGTTATCGGATGATCAAAGTTAAAAAAACAATAAGTTAGGGACCAAACGCGCAAATTAACCCTAACCATGGGGACCATTCCCGCAATTTACTCAAAAATAAATAAATAAACTTAGACGCGAGAAACACAATTATTAACGATTTATAAAAGTATCAATAATATAAATCTATATCTCCCATGTATAATATGAAACTTTGACTTCAAGATTTATACCAAAAAAACATTTCATTAAAAGTAAAATTTGGTTGTTTTCTTCAACGTTTTAAAGATTTTTACAAGCCATGGCCTTGAACATAAAACGAAAACATACAAAGGAAATGAGGCCCAGAAGTCCAGGTTGGATATTTTGCCCCCAATAACTTCCAGAAGCAGCCGTTTGTGTACTTTGGTTTTAATTAAATTATTATAAATAAACAATAAAATAACTTTATTTGAGTTTTAACTAGTTTTGTATTTATTATTAATTTTTTTAGAAATAAAAATCTATTAATTAAATAATACATAAAATAGAATAAAGTTTATAAATTTGAACTTATATATAATTTGTAATGTTTATTTCATTTTAACATCCAAGTTAAATATTACCATAAAAATAGTAACATGTGATTATTTTATTGTCTTATTATTTTAATTTAAAGCTTAATAAATTAAAATGTCATATCAACAAAAATACGAACCTTTAATACATGTTACTTGGACTAGGATCAGGCTTAACTTGGACTAAGAGCGGGCATCCACAAGCCCATCGGGCTATGATTGCGGGCTTCAAACCTGCTCCTTTTTAGAGGTATGTGTGAGCCTCAACTAGGCAATATTTGTGCTTCTTGCAGGCATGTTAATTTCTTGCGGGCACGTTAAGGACGTGACAGGTTAGGTTTTTCAGCTTACTTTTAATTGTTTTAGTTTTTAAATACATGAAGTATGATGCTATTAACATGAAATACATGAAAACGATAATTCTAAGTGAAAGCAAGATGCTCTAAATAGCAATATGCATTCATCTATCTGTGTATTATATCATCGTTTCATTTTCATCTATTTGTGTGTTATAGAAACAAAAATAGGTAATATATAAGTAAACTAACTAAAATGAAACAAATTATGAAAAAAAAAATCTTGAACCAGGTTGGGCTTTTAGACCCGAAGGAAGTCCAAGCAAAACCCACCAACCTTAACAGGCTGGTTTTAAGAGGGTGTATGCGGGTCAAGTATGGATGGTCGTTTACAGGCTTCTATTGACCAATATTTAATTGGGTCGGACATGTGGGCCAAGTCAAGCATGTTTTTGTGCATCTCTACATTAACCTATATATTAGGTCATCAGTTCATTCCCATTGTAGTGCACACCATCCCACTACTTAGTGGTAGCTAGTGGTCGTGGTGAATTGTGATGCAAACAACGGAAGCCAACGTCTAATACATTTATTTCTCTCTCTATCTCTCTATTTATTTCTCTCTCTATCTCTCTAATACATTTATTTCTCTCTCTATCTCTCTTTTTATCTCTTTGTAACTTTCTCTATCTCTCTCTACAATAAAATATATTTATTTTTTTATTTAAAAATCAAAAAATAAGAGGATTATAATGATGGGTATAACAACTTTTTTGTGGTTGTGTGTGGTGATGTGACACCCACAACTAAAGTGGTTAATGGTTTAATAAGGAATGGTCTTATTGGATAATTAATAGTATTTTGTTATTTCATGTAATTTATCTTAAAACAAAATAAATAAACTATATTACATGTAAAACACAAATGATTTCGTTATTAGATATGCGGTTTCTTTTATTAGATGGGCCGCGTAAACATACCCCTTCAAAACATTGATAAAAACCAATTAACCAACCATTAATAGAATTAAGTCATCGGTTTTTATTCGTGTTGTAACCTCGTAGTTAGCATAATAATATTTCCACTAAATCAGATTTTTCTTAAAGTAAGGTTTTCACTTTAGATAATGAGAATACATAATTGAAGTGTGCACGTCTTCACGCCAAAATGCATACAAACCAACATGTGATATGAATCAATAAAACTTCTAACTAATTTGCTAGGGATGGAAATTTTTATCGAGTTCATCAATCAAACTCAGTGAAATACACAACTACTGATCAGTGATTTATATATAGGTTATTATATAGTATAGCATGATGTATGAAACGGTTTTCTGTGAACTCCATATATGCAATGCTGATTTAACTAAATCTAGTTTCAAATACAACAATACACGTCCATGATTTCTAAGTTATTATATCATTGTTGTGTTGAACCCTTTTTTATGACGTCTAATAATATATTATTGAACTTTATCGACTGAATTGTTCTTTTTGTACATTTGGGTTGGAAAAGATATTTCTTTCATTCATTCTTTCTTTTTTACTTTTCTACACTTCAACCAAGGCAATATAACGCTCACCCTAACAACCGATCCTAGAGTCACCATGTCCCCAAAGCAAAAACGGTGATATTTATACTTGAAACTGAGCGACACTTCAACTAGAAAATACGAGTAGTAGCGATTTAAGATCATTTGAAAACTCAAACCATGTTTTCACTAGGGGTGGTGACCATCAACTGGGGCATTACAACTTCATGACTATCAACGGGACATTCAAGCAAACAGTTGCGACAGTTTGGACATGAAGAATGAGACTCAAACCACTTGTCTATGCATCCAACATGAAACTCATGGCTACAGTTTGGCAACACACGAACATTTTGTCCATCTACAAAATCTTCGAGACATATGGTGCACTCTGTAACTGAAATCTTGAATACTGATTCAAGAACACGTGTTGAAATCTGAGAAACGATAGATTTCTTAAGACCAGCACAAGGTTCAGATTCATGTTGTGATGTTCGTGTTGTCATTGTAGATGTACGTCTCCGTTGCATAGCGTAACGTATCACTTGAAACACTCCAAAAGAGGTTATGAATCCACAAAGCAACACGATCCACATAATATTGACTATAAGATTCATCTCGTTTGAGTTTGCAGTTGGATCTGTATCGTTGTGGTGTGGAGAAGAAATAAACGACCCATCAAGAAGACTACGGGGGTGGAAAGTTGTCATAGGTTTTTCTTTGTGGAATTTTATTATGCTAAAGGAAGAGAGTATATAAAGATTGCTTCATGTGGAGAAGAGTTCCCAGGAGAGTTCCCAAGTATATATAATGTTGGAGACTTGGGAGTTGTGAAAAAGATGCATAAATATCAATAATACTTTGAATGTCTTTTATTGGTTACGAATCTTAGAAGCATATCTATTGCTAATGTCACTTTTCCAACTGGATTGCAAGTTTTACTTTCGATCTCATAGAATTTATCTACTTTATTTCTTGAGCATCTATTGAAACCTTTAATTATTTTAAAAAAGTTTTTGTATTTTTCTGAGACTTTTAGGTATTCGAATAAAACCGAATTATTCAATTGGACAATTTGGATTGGATTATTCGGTTCAGATTTTTGGATTATTGGATGGGTTTCCAGTAAAATCGAATTATTAGTTTAGATTTCGAATTGGTTACAGTTTATAAAATTAAAATCGAATAGTTCAAAAAAACCGAGTAAGAGTTTATTATTTATTTATTTATTTATATTTGTTTCAAATATACATCTTTTACTTATTTATTAATTTGCTAAATTGTATTTTTAAATAGATTAAAAAGTATTATCCAATAAAATATTTCAATGTATATTTTTTAATGGCTCTTTATATATAAAATATTAAATTATAATACAATTTTTAATAGCTGTTCAATATTTTAATTTTTAATTTTTTTTTTCCTCTGAAGCTTATGTGAAGACACAAACCCGAAGTACCCATGGGTTGGGCTTTGCGTCTTCACAGAGACGAAAGAAGACGGAGGAAGTGATTGATTGAATGCTTTTTTGATCGTTAAGCACGTTGGTTTTTCCTTTTAATCCATCAAAAAAAAAAAAGGATGAACCCGTTTTACAGTAATCCGGTGAAAAAGACGAAGAAAACCGGGTGGAAAATTTATATGATTTAATTCAACTTACATATTTGGTCCTTGAGATTCTACCATTTAATCTTATTATACTCTTTCATTTTTATTTGAATTATGTTAAACCCTTAACTATATATAATTAATTATATTTATTTAATTTTAAAAATTAACAATATGTTTATTTGATTTTTTAATTAGTAAAATGATTACTTAAGTTTATAATAATGTTTTTTTTTATTTAATCTAATATTTTAAAATTAAAAAAAATAAAAAAAATGAATATTGTTAGTGGTGACCATTTCCTATGTGGAGTGGGTTGGTGGTGAATGTGATGTGGCGCAGAGTTGACACCACTTTTCCGGTGAGTTGGTCGTGACTACTCCCAATAATATTAGTTAAGTAAATTAAAAATAAAAACTGTAATTGTAAGGCATATGTCATGTTTGATCGGACACTACCCACATGATAATACAATATTTAAGATTATTACTTTTTACCAGAAAAAATTCAATTCAATATGGTTTAAAAATATTTATCTCAAAATTTGTGATCAAAATAATCTCTACCCATATATTGTATGTAAAAAATTTGTATCGGGTTTATTTTATGTTACTTTATTAGTATAGTTAATTTAAGACAAAACTACAAAATTGGTCCTTGTAGTATTCAAAAAATTTTGGATAGGATCCAAAAAGTTTTCAACTTGCATGGATGGTCAAAAATCAAGAATTTTCTTTGGTTTTGGTCCTTGAATAATTTGAAAAGACTCTTTTACCCTTTTCATTTGTTTATTCTATTTTCTTTATTAACTTAAGTATTTAAATCTTTATAAAATAATAAAAAATTAAAATCATACCCCACCCAACCCTATCACTCCATCGGTAACCCCCGTCCCTCCCTCTCTCTCTCTCTCTCTCTCTCTCTCTCTCTCTCTCTCTCTCTCTCTCTCTCTCTCTCTCTCTCCAACCATCTTCTTCCTCCTCACCTTCACCGTAACACTTTAACGATTTATTCTCCCCCAAAACCCACCTTGATTATCAATTCCAAAAAAGTCCTTTCAACACCCATTTGATGTATACAAAAACCAAATCAAACCCACAACAGTGGAAAACATTTATAATGCTACAACCCCAGAATTCAGAAGAATAACGTGTCTAGATTGAACATAAATTCATATTCTATGGAAATTCATAGTTAACAATCACTGAAATACGAAGACGGAGAATGAGAGCCATCATCAAGAACGATTTCTAGGATCTTGAATATGACAACTTGTTTTGAGATATTGAATCTGATCCGATAATCTGACCATCAATTTGCCGTTGTTTTACCTTGTATCAAAAGCTATGACTCTACTAGATCGTGTGGCTCACTGAAAAACCACAAAAGAATAAGCAAATGATGAGTTTCGCGGATGTACACACACACACTTAGTGTGATTTTTGTGAGAGGGAAAAACGCATCAATCTATCACCGTAAACCACCGCTAGCAACCTCTATTAACAGGTTTCATCCCCACCAGAAATCACCGTCTCTAGCGTTGTTCATCTTCTTTCCTTTTCTCGAACCTGCAGATCATAAAAAAGAAGATGAATAAGAGAAGGAGTCGATATTTTTGTGGGTTGCTAGTGAACCAAAATTCATACTTGTACATGTCGATTTGATTCACAAGAAGAAAAAGGCTTCAATTATTATTATTATTTTTGCAGTTGGAGTTCTTAGGAGCTTCGATGTGTGTGTGTGTGTGTGTGAGAGAGAGAGAGAGAGAGAGAGAAGACACTGGTAGGGTGAGGGTAGGATAAATAAGCCTTTTTATTTTTTAATTAAAATAATATTAAAACAAATATAAAAATGTAAGAAATAAATTAAGAAGGGCATAAAAGTGTTTTTAATTTTTTAGGACCAAAACTACGGAAAAGTTTTGATTTTGGACCTTCCATGCAAGTCGAAAACTTTTTGGACCCTATCCAAAGTTTTTTACAAACCACAAGGACCAAATTTACAGTTTTGTCTTAATTTAACTTAAAAACTACCGATTTTTTCATTTTCTACTTTTTTTTTTGGTAGTTTTAATTCAATGTATAAAATTTAAATTCTATAAAAAAAGTTTAACTTATTAAAAATAGACCAAAGGGGTTATATTAAAATATGTCATATTGATATTGATGGAAGACCAAACACTAAGAGTTTTGACTAAATGATTGAAAGTTGGGCATAGACTAGAAAAAAGGTGTGTGAGAAATAAGGGAGGGTCGAGGAGGATGAAAAATGTTACCCTTTTGAATTTGCTGTCCGGACGAAGGTCTTAGTTCCCCCATACAACGATTCAAATCTAAAATACGACCAAGAATTTTTAACGACTACTTGACATCCTTTGTACAAGTACTTAAGTTTCTACACATATTCACAAAAGCTCACACTTGATTCAATCAGGTAAATTAGCTAAGGTAAACTTACTTAATTTTGATCGTATAATTGGTTTGATTTGATGTACATATTTTGATCATTGTATTCTTCAAATTTTCATATAAATTACTAAATTTGATCTCAATGACAAGTTTTATAAAAAGAAAACATTTTGGATTTTGAGGTTAAAGGCCAATATTTAACTTTAAAAAGCACTTAACACAAAAACATGTTGGCTCTACATTTCTTCGATTTTTTGTGCCGTAATGATGAGTTATAGTGGTAAATATGTAAAGAAACAGGGAAAATTATGACAAGATGATTGAACCATGAGAGATTCATAAATCCGATTACAACTTCTAGTTGAAAATATCATGGAAAACAATAAGGTACGTTTAATTGTTGTCATAAGTTACTTCTCTATGTTTTATGTGTAATTGGAGTTCGATGAATTTATTATGATTTTTTTTAAGACAATGCATGAAATCTGTGACAACATAGACCAACCTGAGAAGATTGTCAATTTTACCCCTTAAGGATTTGGAATTTCGAAATATGATTCAAAGTTTGAAGAAACTAGACACACTAATATTTCCAGAAAACTAAGTCTCATGATTTTTAGGTGTTATTGACTTGCACGAATTTTAGAAGTTCGAGGACAGATTTGGGAAAATTGATTATAATAGCTTTTAAATCATTTTTGGTGTTCTATTAAGGACTTAAGGATTAACCCCAATACACCTCTCTGTTCTGATATGTAGTCTTTAAGTGCTTGCAAATAAGCTAAATTGACATTCTGTGTTGAAATATTAAGATTCATACATGCAGTCTATATTATACTTGTATTGTTGGAAGTGGTTATACATTGAAATCCATTTGTAACAAGTTCAATATGTGTACAACTATGAGTATTGTTGCAAGAAGTTAAAGTAAAGTTAGTTTGACACAGGGAATCCACTCTCCTAAAGCATCCAAAACTTGTAAACCAGTAACAGCTTAATTTCCACCATATCATAATTAATTTAAAAGTTGTTAGAAATCATAGGATTACCTTTTACTAAACAAGACATATACTGTAGATGACTAAGGAACAACTGCTTTGGTGGTATTCTTTTAAGATAAAAAGGTCGTAGAGATCAGGTATCACTTTGTCATAATGTACACTAGGTGATGTCAGAGGGTTTGAATTAAGCAAAACTGCTCTTTCAAGCATTTAGTCGAACACCTGGTGTGCAAGGCTCATTTCCCCCTTTTGCTATCATATTTAGAGTATCATAGTTGACCAAATAACTTCACAATACGAGCAGGTAAGAATCATTTGACCCATTGCATTTTCCACTCTAGATATATTAAACCTGAAACATGCAAAATGCATTTAAATTGAGCTTCGATGGATAAACCATGTACCAGAGGTGAGTATGAGAAGAGACCACCAATGAACTGATTTCTAGTTGCAATAGCTATGACTAAACACCACATTTGTAGATCAGTGGCATGATTTCCAACTTTCTATGCTTAAAAAATTGCTCAAGATCAAAACTAACATAAGTAGATAGAGAACTTCTGATGCATCGTAATAATTTTATAAAAGACTTTCTGAAAGAAAATAATGCGCAACTGATATAATGGATTGTGAATTGTAAGGTTCATAATGGATAGTCTGCATCGTAGCCTCCTTTTTCTGAATCATTTCTTA